GTTGGCAGTACATAGCGGTTGCGGTTTAGGATACCGACTATCTGTGATAACTTCGAGGTAACGTAATTGATGTGATCGTCCCAAGACATATTCTCGGAAAAAGTGACACCAAGTAGTTTAAAAGCATTGACGATCTCAATCCTGGTTGAGTTTATTACGATATGTTTGGTGATATTTACAAGTTTGCTCTTGGGACGAAAAAGCACGGCTTTTGTCTTTGCAACGTTTATTTGTAACGAATTGATGCGGCTCCAGACGTTCAACTTAGAAAGCGCCAGGTTTGCCGATTCGAACAGCAGATCAACGTTTTCCGCAGTGAAAAGTAAAGTGGTGTCGTCGGCGTAGTTTACAAATTTTGCTTCGGAAGTAATGTTAACAATATCATTTACAAATATATTAAAAAGAAAAGGACCCAATATACTACCTTGTGGGACACCAGAAATGATTGGTTTTGTAGTTGAGGAGTGCCCATCATTACAAACAAACTGCATTCGGTCTGCCAGGTAAGATTTTATTAACTTCAGTGCGTGCCCTCGAATACCGTAAGTGTCTAGTTTTTCAATTAAAATTTTATGACTTAGGCAATCAAATGCCTTTGTGAAGTCTACGAAGATACCAAGAACCATCTTCTTTTCCTCGAAGCTTTGAAGTATGTGTTCTTTCTGAACAAGCAGAGCAGATTCCGTTGACTTTTGTTTTATGAAACCAAACTGTGAGGCTGTTATTAAGTTATACTTATTAGAAAAGTTAATTAGTCTTATATGAAGCAGCTTCTCGAGTATCTTCGAAAACACAGGTAGTATCGAAATTGGCCTATAGTTTCCCATATCGTTAACACTCCCTTTTTTATGTAGGACGGACACCTTTGCTATCTGCATACGTTTAGGAAATACACCTGTGGTTATACAAAGATTAAATATATGGGTTAGTACCGGAGCCAACGCATGAACAACATGCTTCACTGGCCTTATCTGTATGCCATCCGCATCACAACTACCACTATTTTTAAGTTGCAAAACTACAGAAATTAATTCGGCGTCAACGACTGGCTCTAAAAATATTGAGTTATTATTTCTGGTGTCACGAAACAAGGAAGAATTTACGGTGTTAGTTTTATCTGCAATGCTTATGAAATGTTCATTAAAGGCATTCGCTAACGCATGCCCAGTTAGTTCAGCACCGTCATTGACAATCTTTACAATAGAGCCGCGGGAGCGATTTCGACCTAAGAGGGCGTTTAATTCTTTCCATATGACATCGGCATGACCCTGCGCTGATTTCAACACGTTAAAATGATAGCTTTGTCTAGCTCGCCGCAGCTCTTTTGTCAAGCTGTTGCGGTATGTTTTGAAGACTCTTAGATCGTTTTGATCTCTGGACTTCGCAAATCTTGCATACAACGCATTTTTCGTACGAATTTTACAATGCAGTTCGGGGGTAACCCACGGTTTTTTAATGCGTTTAGAAGTTTTCATAGATTTGAAGGGAAAGTGTGTCAAATATTGCTCAGAAAACAATTCCATAAATATATTGTAGGCCTCTTCGGCGGTATCCTGGTTGAGTACGCTATCCCAATTTATATCTGATAGAGCGGTTAAAAAGTGGTCTAGTCCATCAAGTGTTATTTTTTGAAACATTGTACACTGCTTCTTATTTGCCTCCCGTTTCATATATTTGTCAGAAATAAATATTGGGAGGTGGTCACTAAGATCGCAACATACAACACCAGCTTTTATATGCTCTGTCGAGCGATTTGATATAAACAAGTCTATTAGTGTTTTGGATTGGCAGGTAACTCGCGTGCGGCTGTTGATAACGTTTCTGCATCCGCCAGTATTAATTAAAGTCGTAAATGTGCGTTTGACAGTAGTGTCCGTACACATATCAATGTTAAAGTCTCCACCACAAGTAACATTATACTTTCCTTCATTGACAAATATTAAGAAGGACTCAAAGTACTCGAAGAAGGTTTCAAGACTGCCACTAGGGGGTCGGTATATAACAGCAAAAATATTATCTTTACTACGAACACAAAGCATCTCGTAATCCTGTGTGACGCAGCTGAAATCTTTTATTAATTCACAGCGAGAGTCTTTAGTCAGGATGGCCACACCGCCACCACGCTTCTCTGAGCGATTGACGTAAAAAGAACGATACGACGGCAGTTTCAGAACATCAGCTTCATCCGTGTACCAAGTTTCGGTAAGCATTATAATATCAAAGTGAAAACCAAATTGATCGAAAAGCAACTCAAGGTCAACAGCTTTGTTTTTGGCTGACTGAGTATTTAAATGGAAACACGTCACGCATGACATTAGATCTTCACCGAGATAGCTTTTCACGTTTTGCGGTAGAAAAAAGGCGCTTTCGGTCATTCACCCCAAAAAGGACAAGGAGGAAAAAACAGTAAGTGATATTCACAGAATCGTATCAAGGTCGGCAGCATCCGAGATTTTAAGCGCCCTCTCGCCGTCTTGTTTCCTGATAAACACCTTATCATTCCGGTGCCAGACGTATTGATAGTTATTTCGCTTTGCCCATTCTTTAGCCACCCACAAAAGGGCCTTACTCTGTCTCGTCAAGTTTTCTTGGAAGAAAACGTTGCTTCTACTACGCCTGAGTTCTCCTTTTTTGTCAAGCCACCGGTCGCGAGTGGTCTGCTGTGCGAAACGCACAATTACGCCTGGATTTCTATCTTGCTTTGCCGGGAGCCTGTGCATATTTACGATATCGCCGTCAGTCAGTTCTGGAAGGTTTAGTCTTGCTCCAATTTCATTAACACGAACCAAGAGGTTCTCTTCTTTAGCTACAGGGATCCCGTAGATTTCGAGGTTGGGTCGCCTACTGCGCCATTCCATATCGCTTAGATCGCGTTTTAACTGTTCAATTTCCTCGCCGGTTTTTAGTCGTTCAAGAGCTTCAAGACGCTTTTTCACTGCCTTTGTTTCATTGTCCTGATGGTTAATATGCTCGAGAATCTTATCATACTTATCAGATAGCATCTGCATGACGTTTCGATTCCGGTCACGGTTTCTTTTAGACTCATTAGACTGTCTAGTTTGGCGTTGATGGTTACCAATAGTGTAGGCATGTCGACCACTTCCCCCTTCCTACCGGATGGGCCTCCTCTTTGTTTTACTCTCTGGCAAGTAGAACATTGCCAACTTTTCCACGCGCTTGCGTTTTTAGACTTGAAGGCTACGGCTGTGACACCTGAGCACGCACCAAGATGGTAAAAAGAGTCACATTCACAGCACGTAATAGAAACTTCTACGTCGGATAACACCTCTTTACATACAATGCAGATCGAATCTAGAGGCATTCTAGCACATCAACAAATCAAAGAAGTTTGCTTGGCAGCAGCAGCGGCGTAAATAAACAATAATTGGCCCAGATCCCACACTAACCTGTAAAGGTCAGATGAAATCGTAAGCGCTGTGCCACGAGCCGCTGCCGCTGCCAAATTGTCCTGCAGAGTCGCTGGTCTTGATTTTATAGCTGCTAGTCCTTGTGGTCTGGCAACTCGTGCAGCGTGTTTGCAGCTCCTCCTGGTACGTGGGCTTGATGACTCGGCGAAGCCGCCTCGACGACGAGCTGTTTGTAGCACAGTCACTGTAAAGGTCAGATGAAATCGTAAGCGCTGTGCCACGAGCCGCTGCCGCTGCCAAATTGTCCTGCAGAGTCGCTGGTCTTGCTTTTATAGCTGCTAGTCCTTGTGGTCTGGCAACTCGTGCAGCGTGTTTGCAGCTCCTCCTGGTACGTGGGCTTGATGACTCGGCGAAGCCGCCTCGACGACGAGCTGTTTGTAGCACAGTCACTGTAAAGGTCAGATGAAATCGTAAGCGCTGTGCCACGAGCCGCTGCCGCTGCCAAATTGATTCATCAAAAATTTTTGTCCCCCGCTAAGTTCAGCGGGGATATTGACGCGAATTCAGTTTTTGCTCTAAATTTAGCGGGGAAAATGACGTCCCATGACTTTGTGTGACGTCACCGTGAACAAATTCAGTTTCTCCGCTAGATTTAGCAGGAAAATTGACGTCACTTGACCTCGACACCAAATCAGTTTCCCGCTAAATTTAGCGGGGCGGCTACGACGACGCCGACGCCGTGAAACGCGGGAACGGGCGCCTAAGAGCTGCACTCTAAAAAAGCGGAAAGCGATGGGCATTCTACGTCAACCCAGCTGATTGTTCAAGCGCACAGGAAAACATCAAAATCCGTCGGAACAATTTTGTTTTGACACCTATTTTGTTATTATTGCCATCCTCCTGCAAGCACTTGAAACTTGCCTGAAGGCTTATACAGTGTTCGAGGCGGGGTTTAGGCCGCACGTCCGGAAGCTTCCTGGCTCGAGACGACGTCCATTCCCCGAAGTGAAGAACCCAGGGGTTCAGTGGAGGTGGGAGACTTGGTAACGTAACGAACAGTTTAATTACATGGTAGCGATACAGTCGTCAAATCCGAGAGAACAACGGAGCAGCCTCGCGCTCCGCCTTATATAGGGTCCGTTTCTCCCTCACTCCTTGCCAGGGCAGCCCGTGCGATGCAGCAACCCGTCGTCCAGTGTGACGTAGCCAAAGGTCTCAGCAGTTAGGCCATGCCTCTCTCCCTTTCCCGAGCGCACCAACCACCACGCACACACACACCCACGTCCCGCTAACGTCACGGGCGCGTTGAGACTTGTTGCCGCAGGCCCCGTCACGCAGGCGACGGTCCCGGACTCGTCGGGACTGGTTTCGCGCAGGCCCCGACAAGCGGGCGACGGTCCCGACAAGCGGGCGACGGTCCCGGACTCGTCTTGACTCGTTTCCGCAGCGTTGAAACTCGGAAGAAGGTCGCCGAAGGTTCCATTCTTAACAGCCCCTCCGGGGCCAGGGAAACCTCGAATGGCCGGTGGTACTATCGCTGGCCTGAAGAGGTGGGCTTGGAGTAGGCCTTGAGAAGATGCTGCAAGCACTAAGCAAACTCCCAAACCTCTCACAACGGAGGCATTAGCGGAAACGTCCCCCACAACACCACGCCACACCGCAGTCAAACGCTCGGAATCCGCCAGAGACCCGCCAGACTGGATTACGGATTACCAAAATTTGCCAAAACAATGCAATATAAAATTTTAGGACAACTTCGGGTATCGAGACCCGCTGTCGCCAAAGCAAAACTCATTTTTCCAACGAGGTCACTATGAACAAAATACAAAAAGACAAAAACTCTTCGCAATTTGTGAGGTCATTTTGGGGTTTTAACGAAGTGCCCCCTACTTCGATCCTCATTCCCGTGGATGACGAAAACCTGAGATCATCCCTACTCTTTTTGGTGATATCAGAAAAATCTGCTCAACCCATCGGCATTGCTGTTAAATTTGCCTTTCCTCTTCCTTACGCTGAAGTCATAGTGATCGATTTTCACGTGATTTCTAGACGTGAAAATGCGGTCCTTATAGCGCCGATAAAACAATCCGCCTTTTTCATGCCCCGTCACATTGGTCCTAGCAATCTCCTGAGCTGTACCGCGAAACCCTGACACACTAGGGTCGCTCTTCTGCTCTACTGTCAGAGACACTCTGTCTACTCGTAACAGAGGACCAAAGTTATGTGACGCCGGAGCTACGAGAGATCCTTTAATGATCCCGTCTTTTTCCGCCTTTTTCGCCGGCGCGTTGGGACGGCGAACGCTTTCTAGTGCTACGAGGTCGGGCTGTTCTACAACCCGGACCCCCTCATCCCGTTTCTCTGCCTCCAACTCTGGGAGTGCTTGCTCCCCGTCAGCTGTCTTTCGCTCTGGATCACTCGTTAACAAAGGGGCGAGCTGACGCGATTTGGACCTCGTACACGACTGAACGAGTCCTTCTCCCAGTTGTTGACCCCTTTCGCGCAGCAGGAAATCTGACCGGTTAGAAAACAAATAGGGATACTCCAACGGGACTGTTTGCGAGACAGCCGCCTCTGTCACTAGCTCTCCGAACGGGCCAGTTATCCTTACTCTCGCCATAGGCAGACAGACACTGTGCTTCTCGAGCAGCTGCTTGATCCAAACTACCTTTCCAGTAAAGTCGGATGTCGTTACATACGACGGATGAACAACGTCCATCGTCGCTGCACTGTCACGAAGCACCCTGCACGGCTTTCCGTTTACCTGGAGCTCGTGAAGATAGGGACGAAGAAGCTCCAGGTCCCTGTCACTACCGCTCACGTACGAGAACACAACCCGCGGTTTGTTACACCTGGCCGCTGTGTGTCCCGGCTCCTGACAGTTGTAGCACAGGAACGGCTTCCTTGCCTCGAACTGCCCTTTTTGGCTTTTCCGTGCCTCGTCTTCGTTCGAGGGATCTCCGTTCGAGGGATCTCCGCTCTTTTCTGGGACCTTTTGTCCTGTTTCTGGCTTCTCGGGCCTTTTTTCTCGCGAGCCGTTTCCCTGTTGGAAGGGCTTGCGCTGATCGCTCCGGCCGGGTTCGCTTTCCTCTCCGCTCAGCTTTCTACGCGTTGCGTACTCTTCGGCTAGCTCAGCGGCCCTTTCGACAGAGTCGACTCCCACCCTATCCTGCACCCAGAGCTTGACTGACTGCGGAATGCTACGAAAGAACTGTTCGAGGCACACACACTCGACTACCTTGTCGCGGCTTTCGTACACTTCCTCGCTCTTCAACCATTCTATCAAGTTGGTTTTAAGCGCGTACGCGAATTCCGAGTAGCCCTCGCTGCTCTTTTTGGATGCGTTTCTAAACCTTTGACGGAACGCCTCGGCAGAAAGGCGATACCGCTTCAAAAGGCTCGACTTCACCTTGTCGTAGTCGTCCGCGTCTATAGTACTAAGGCGCGCGACAACCTCTGCAGCCTCACAGGGCAACAAAGTCAAAAGCCGTTGCGGCCACGTTTCTGGGGCGAAGCTCAACTTCTCACATGTCCTCTCAAAGTTAACTAAGAATAGGCCCACGTCTTCCCCAACTTTAAACGGCTGCAGGAGCTTCTTCATTTGATACGACTCGGCCTCACTTGCTCGTACAGGAGCCCCAACTCTACTGTTCTGCGAGTTTAATCGCTGTTGTTCAATTTCGAGCTCTAGCCTTTTTAGCGCTCGTTCCTCTCTTGCTGCAGCCTGCTCCTGTTCTCGTTCCTCTTTCGCTGCAGCCTGCGCTCGTTCCTCTCTTGCTGCAGCCTGCGCTCGTTCCTCTCTTGCTGCAGCCTGCGCTCGTTCCTCTCTTGCTGCAGCCTCACTTTTAGCGTTCTGAAGTAATTCCCACGCAATTTTAATATCCTCTGCTTCCGCGCTCACTGAAATTGCTTTACTGATCTCAGATTTCTTCATCTTTTGCTCCACCTCCACACCCAATTCTTCACATAAACAGAGTAAATCTGTTCTCAGTAACCTCATTAGATCCATGATCGCTGCTTTTTAGCTTTGGCTTTGTTCTAAAACTTGTCGCGAGGTTCTACAAAAACCTAGCGCACGAGTCAAACACTAAGGATTCCCAGCAGTTCAAAATTAATTACCCATAATCTGAAGCCTGGCGAATCTCAAAGCAAAGTCCAAACGCTCACCCACAGATGTAGCACGATGTCGCATGGTCCGATCCCAACCGCTGCCAACCAGTTGTTCGAGGCGGGGTTTAGGCCGCACGTCCGGAAGCTTCCTGGCTCGAGACGACGTCCATTCACCGAAGTGAAGAACCCAGGGGTTCAGTGGAGGTGGGAGACTTGGTAACGTAACGAACAGTTTAATTACATGGTAGCGATACAGTCGTCAAATCCGAGAGAACAACGGAGCAGCCTCGCGCTCCGCCTTATATAGGGTCCGTTTCTCCCTCACTCCTTGCCAGGGCAGCCCGTGCGATGCAGCAACCCGTCGTCCAGTGTGACGTAGCCAAAGGTCTCAGCAGTTAGGCCATGCCTCTCTCCCTTTCCCGAGCGCACCAACCACCACGCACACACACACCCACGTCCCGCTAACGTCACGGGCGCGTTGAGACTTGTTGCCGCAGGCCCCGTCACGCAGGCGACGGTCCCGGACTCGTCGGGACTGGTTTCGCGCAGGCCCCGACAAGCGGGCGACGGTCCCGACAAGCGGGCGACGGTCCCGGACTCGTCTTGACTCGTTTCCGCAGCGTTGAAACTCGGAAGAAGGTCGCCGAAGGTTCCATTCTTAACAACAGCAAGGTATGTTCATAGTTCGCTATTTTTACCAATTAGGGCACCCTTCCGCCTTCAGAGGCGGCTCCAGGCAATGCATCTTATAAAGATCTACCTCTCTGATCTTTCGAGCACTTTCCCAAGTAAACTCGAACAGTTTCTTGCATTCGCCAAGATTGAAGGCCGTTGTTCAATAGTAGACATGCTCAAACTTTTGGTCCAAGACAAGCTTCAAGGGCCATTTCCCAATGTTCAAGTTGCTACTTCGCAATGTTTGTACATAAAGGAAAACTGAAGCGGTTCTCTGTTTGAGGAAAAACACTTAAATCGTCTTGATTTGGCCTCCAGAATGACAAATATCGCGATTATTTTTCAGTATGAAGCACGGATACTGCAGAAAATCATTTTCAAGGTACCGCTAAAGCCCCTCCTTCCCGGAGCGTGACGTCATATACAGAGTTTTCGGAATCTCCGCTCCCGTGCATCTTCAGCACCTATCAAAGCTATGCCCGCGCACTCTTGGTATCTTCGAGAAGGCGAAGAAAAAAAAAGACGTCACGACTGGTTTCAGCGCGGGGAAATATACCTGGCGAGTTTGTAATTGCACGCGCTGCCCACGCGAGCGACAAGAGCTTCGCGAATATCATGTAACTATCTGGGTATCATGTAACGACTGGTCAGATGTCTTTTGTGTTCTTTCGTGTTTAGTAATATCTTCGGGGAAAACGAACGTTACATTCAGATTAACGGAATAAAAATACTCGAGAATACAACACTACTTATTTTTTCTGTAGAACCTCTTCAGCTTCCTTCTGTAAAACCTCTTCACCTCCCTTTAATAATAAGAAATAAATTGCGCAGGTGAACCATCCTTCAGCAAGTTGAAATTGATCAACAACAGGCTTCGATCAACGATCGCCGACAACCCCCTTAATGGCTTGTCTTTGCTCAGTGCAAAAACGTACATCCTTCGTCGAGTTGATATTGATGATCTTATAAACAAGAATTCCTCACTGTAAACACGAGTTTGTGATAAATGGCAACACCTTTCATGCTCTATCTAGCACTGTGAATCAATATCTTTTTGTGTGGGTTCGATGTGGAAAATATCTTATTGTGACATAGCCTCTTCAACCTCTTGATCACTGTCATATATAATAAAAAAATGTCAAGAAATGATTGCTATATTGGCTATGTTAAGACGACACAGAAACACAATGTAAAATATTTAGTTCAAAGGAGCACTCTGCAATTTTAATATTGCCCTTAGAAAGCCAACAATTCTGCAGCTGAATAAACTGAGAGCCGTGAAGGTTAGTACCTAAGTTTCTTATGGAATACCTAAATTGATTTTAAAATAGAGAGTACTCTTTTTGAACGGGTACCACGCGACCGTTAATTCGCGCCGGAATTTGGGATTCCGGAAGGTCGCAGTTATATCAAAATGGCAGCAGGAAGGAGTTTAATTTTGTAGCCGCCCAAGTATACCGTAAAGATCAATTAAAATTAAACAAATGTTCTAAAAAAAAAAAGTCGCGTTACACTGAAGTAATTTTTTTTTAAAGAATATCGATAAAAAAAAAGAAAAGAAAACACGTCTGAGGTTCTTTTGAACAATTTGCACGAATTCGGCGCGTGATTTTCAAGAATATTAAAAACTGAAATTTCCAGTTATTTGGTCGCTTAATTTCTGGCAACAATTGCTTCATTTCCTAATGACGCACGAGCTTGGCGCCTCTGCGACTCGTCGGGACTTGTCACAAAGATTATGTCCGCGATTTTGGAGCTCTAATCTCTACTCGCTCTCTGCTGTCGCACACGCTGCCCTTGGACTGGAACTGATCAAATTACTGCTGGGTCAACCAGCGCCCACGCGGAAATATTACGCACAAAAAAAGAAAATGCGTTATGGCGACATTGGACACGTGTAATCGTGCGAGGAAGGCAATCGCGGCCGGAATAAAGCAGCTTGTGGAGCCACCCACCTTCGCGGCGCGTATTGCTTAGACCTCATCTCAGAGTCCTTAGAGTCTGCGCACAGAAATGATTTCCTTCAACCTGCTCGCCTGGTGTGTCACTCTATGGGTAACGGCAGCAGCGTCATGCAGAGACTCGATGGTCGGTAACTACAGTTTTGTTACTTGCTCGGGGTTCAGCAATTCCAGCGAGCTGAGGGACCAGCTCCAACGGTCGTCGCCACGAAAGGAGTTCACGTTAGTGCTGAAAGATAGTTGGTTCGACAGGGTTGTCCCTTATGCGTTGGGTCAACTGCAGCCTTCTGTGCTTGAGCTGAGCAACGTCACTGTCGACTCGTTCTGTGACGAGGAGCCCTTCGCTGCTCTCAGAGAGTCGCTGACGAGCATAGCGTTCGCCCAGAAGAGCTCCCTGCCCTGCTCGTGGAGTCTTCTGCGTCAGCTGGACAAGCTACAAGCGCTCAGCTTGTCGGGACTAGCACAGCTCAATTTGTCCAACAGCTTCAACCAACTGCCGCAAAGCCTCAAGATTGTGAGCATCGCTCACTCAAGGATCTCGAACGTCGACGAGGACTGGTTGTCTGCTCTGATCGGGATCCAGATCGTCTCCATCAGAAGCACCAACTTGAACATCTTCCTCAGGTCGATGCTGCCGAAACCGGCGCCGTTCCTCAGGCGTCTGGACCTCTTGTAAGTACCCCGAGCGGAGTATCCACTTAATCTCAGAGTCTCGAACCGGAACCGAACCAAAACTAAAACCGGAAATGAACCGTTATTTTTACGTAAATCGGAACCGGACCGAATTGAAATCGTCACCGCCATCTTGGAACTGAACCAAAAGAAAAAAAAACAAACTTAACGGCCACTAATTCAAAAAGGTTCAGCCTATTTTTTTTTCCACGAACGGAATATTTGATACTACAAAACATGCATATATATTGACAGCGGTATTTTTATATCTTTGTGAAATTCTTCATAAACGGAATTACATTGAATGCGAAATGGTGGGATTTCATGACGGGTTTGTATGAGCGCTCCGATTAATCATGTGATGACACGTGATATTATGTGATGCGGTCACGTTACGACACGGCACCAAATCTTCGCATAGCCTTACACCATGACATCAGATTATACCATAACTTTACACTCAACGTTACTAGATCCAATAGCGTTGTTGACACCGTTTCAACGGCAGGTGACACCACAACTTCGCGCCGTGTACCAAGAGATACCATGACGTACTCGAATGTCGCGCGCCCGAGCACTCGACTCGGGCTCGTGATAATCATAGGATCAGTAGACATTCCAGTAGTGGGTCGTGTTCGATCAAAGATGGAAAGAGGCGAGTTTTAATAACAATTCCAGAAGGTCAGCCCGAGCCCTATGCTTTGTCATTCCCAGAGGGTAACCACGATGAACATTGGCGGTATATAGTCAGCGCCAGATCACACGACCGCGTGTTTTGTTTGCGAGTTAAAGGGTAACGCTGCTTATAGTTCTTTTTGGCGACAGCTATTTCGTAGAAAGAAAAGTCATATGCGTATTTCGCAAGTTATCAACTTCAAGGATTAATTCTAAGCAGAATATGTACTAAAGTAAAATGGCTTGTGTATGTTTATACAGACTGAACTTAGTCTGCCTCAACGGGCGACTTTTCTCTGAGCTGTATAGGAGCAATGTAGCCAGTGTGTTACCGCTAGCCTGAGGTCTTTCATGTGCACCACTTAGTAGTGATACACGACCGCACGCCGGTACGATGCTCATCCAGATCGAAAAGGGCAGAGGTGGGGATTGAACCCCGGATGCCTGGGTTCTGCAGCGCGAGCTTTCACTCCAGGTGCTCCGAGCTGGTCTGCGCTAGACCACGCGGCCACCCAGTAACATATTAAAACTAATGAATTTATTATGCTACTGAGTACGATTGCTCAAAGCACTGATAGTTAGACCTCTGGGAAGTCATTCCAAGCGATAAATGCTGACGAAGCTCCTTGAACTGATGACGAAAAAACACAAAGGTTAAGTACAACGCCCACTGAAGTAAGAAACTGAAGCTATTGTCAGACATCACCTGTCAAACCTTGATGCTTAGTTCTGTGGAATCACGGAAGGTTTTTTATACACTCGCAGAAAAAGTGTAGGGCAGCACGTTGGATGGCTTGCAATATTGCTTTTTTCGTTCTTAACGAAGCGTGCTGAGCAGATCCTTGATCCGTTGTTGGGCACCCAATAGGAACCATCTGTGCTGCAAGATTAATAACAGTAAATATTTACAGTATTTTTTAAATTCCAGGTCTGCATTAGCAGAGACTGCGATAAGGTTTAGAGCTTTATTTGCAACTTATTTTTCTGTGATCAAGTAAGAAAAGGGCCTGATCACTTGTAACACAATTTACATTTCTTAAGACACTTTTACGACAAAATAGCATTAAATTGTTTTGAAACGATTCGCTGTGAACTCAGGACGTTGCGAAGAGGCACAATACCTAAAACGTCTTTCAAATAAAGAAAATGAAAATAAAAAAAAACACCGAGCGAGTTATTTACGCGCGACAAGACCCTCCTCCACTCTGAAGTACTCCAGACTTTGTTCGCAGCAGTTTTTTTTATTTTATTTTTTAGGGGTTTACTTGGGAGCCAAAGCTATACATTTAAGCATACTATATGGGCTTTCAAAAAAAATCTAGTTATTTAATTAACCGAGTCGATCAACTGTCGGCAGCCTTTTCAACCGTCTCTAAATGAGTAAGAACTCGCAAAACAAGAGGCAGCCACAGAACAGTAAACTAATGCGACCAATTTCAAGCGTAGAAATTAAACGTTTGAAAATCACGCGTTCTATTTCTAGACTTTCCGCAACAAATCAGTGTACGAACGCACTTGCTTTACGCGCCTCACAGCGGCAATCCACCTCTGCCGCCGTTCCTTATCCCAAGATTGGGAAGGAAGCCCGTGCAGACTCACAGTGTCGTCGATAGGGTGTGTGTATGTTTATACAGCCTAGAAATTAGTCTGCCTCAACGGGCGACTTGTCTCCCAGTTGAAGATGATAAATTTAGCCAGTATAGTACAAACGCTAGCCTGGGGTCTGTATAGGGATGGTGAACCATACATTTCAGTGTCTATAATAAGTGGCACGCGATCTTTCACGAGCCAGAGGACGCCGGTTTGCGCGAGCACACGCAACAAAATCAACTCATAGTCCTCTATTCACTCTTAAGGTGAGAGTGAAATGTGTGGGCTCCATGGAAAAGGAGAATAAAGACAAGCTTTTCATCTCAACAGTGCGGTCTGGTGTAAAAGGTAAGCGATTAATTGGTCTAATTCATCTCCACAAGTGAAAGCACATAGCTTTCACCTGTGGACGTGAAAAGCCTGTCTTTATTCTTTTTTGACCCGAAGCCCATTTATTTTATTGTCATCTTAAGCGCAAATGAGGGACTATGACGTCAATTTCGTTGCGTGCGCTCGCGTACACTGGCGGCTGCTGAGTTGTGGAAAGAACGTGCACCACTTATAATAAATACTGAATTGTTTGCTTCATTATTTCTTTATCGTGCACCACGCAGTAGTAATACACGACCGTGCGTCGGTACAATGCTCATCCAGATCGAAACGGGCAGGGCTGGGAATTGTACCCATGATCCCTTGGTTCTGCAGCGCGAGCTTTCGCTCTACGTGCTCCGAGCTCGTGTGCGGTAGCCCATTCGGACACCAATCACTCCGCAGTAAGACATCGTGTATTGGATTCTTTCGAATAGTTATACATTTTGCGTATCTGCCTTCAGATTTGCCATGTGAGCACATAACTCATCTTTAGATACCTTGTGACCCAGTGTTTCACAGTGCCCAATATGGAACAAAGGAACATGTTTCCGCACAATGGCCCAACAGCTGCAATATTTTAATGTAGCGGCCCCCCCCCCCCCCCCCCCCGTGTCGGTATCACGAGTTGATGTCTACTTCGTACCTTGAAATAGTAACGATAAAAAATGCATTGAATTACTGGCTGAAGATGTAACAACTTCACAAGAGAGCCTCTTGTTATACAGATTTTTTGCAAATTTGTTTCGGCGTTTTCACCACGGATATGCTTGCACCAGTGATTTGCGGAGCCTTAAATATTTTTTGTTTAATCGGTTTATTTAAGCAAATATGTTTTACTGCCAATTAAAAAAACAAGTATTTAAGTCAAGCATAGACGGCTGTTTCATGTGATGTACGTGTCTATGAGCTGGACGAAAATATGATACACCCGTGCACGTGGTGACAGTATGAAGATCTCGTGGCGGAATAGATCGCCAAAGGATGTGTTTCTCCCAAATTTTTAAAACTGTGTTTCATATATTTTTGTTTTCAACATGTGTGTGATGAATAGTATTGTTTTAATATTACAGTCTTGTTGAATATAAAATATGGCCTGCATGATAATAGCGTTATAGATAATACCTTCTTTTGTACTATAGTTGTGTTTACAGATGTTTTTGTTGAATTCTTCAATATGTATGAAGGGTCATTTTTCTTCTTTTTTGCGCCCAATTCCTGCAATAATTGCTGACGGTGATGCAGGTTTTCCTGTAAAAAAAGAACAAACAAACACGTACTACATAAACATTAAGGAAACCATGATGGTGCGCTATCAGATCGTAGTGTCGGCTACGCCTGGACTTAAGGTAAAAAGAAGCGTAGTTGAATATCTTGCATCGAGGCAGAGCCACCGATATCGTTCGGTAGTGATTCGGACGTTTCCGTTTATCTTGGCTACGGCTGTACTTATAAGAGTTGGAGGAAAAGCAGGAAAATAGTGCTCTAGGCTTTTATCTTTGCCATGCAAGACAAAAAGATTTAACTGTCAGTACCAGGTCCAATGTATGCGGATTCTATTTTTGTTGTAGCCATTTAATGGCCCGAGTTCGTAAAAAAAAAAAATTAACGTCTGTGGTACAAAAGGCCAAAAAGTATAGGTACAGAGTTTGAGAGTGATGGGATCAACATACATTATATTTAGTCACAGCGAGAGTCAAGGGCATAACATACATATATCATCGTTTAGAGCACCGAAGTATAAACGAAATGTATGCATTCATGACGATACAGAATTCTTCAGTGAACGAGAAAAGTATATGACTGGAGAGCGCCACAAAAATGCAGCTTTAAGGGATGATAGAGCATTGTGGAACTATTACAGGTTTCAGGTTGTGAAGGACGTTAGGGAGGTAGTTATGGTTCCGAGCTTTCCTTTCACAATTGCAGTCCTTCGAATGAAATTTAAGGCAAAGCAAGGCCAGAGAAAGAAACAACAACACTAGCTTTATCATTCTGACAAAGACGGGGGAGCACAAAATGTGCTGTGAATGAGCTGGTCATATGATCTGAGGGTAGCGTCACGTGACGTCATGAGGTCACATGCATCCATCGAGGTAGAGCTGCTTAGAGCGATAAACCAAGGTTCCGGTCTGCACTCGAAAGTGAACCCCATAAGGCCGCTACCATTGTACGCAATTTTAATCACACGTCACGTGTCCAAACGAAATACGTGACGTCAGAGGAAAAATGGGAGCGCTCAGGCAGCGGCTGGCCCCAGCTGGGCCGGAGCTTCTCGGATGCTTTGTCCGTCGTCGTTTGTGTCGGAAAGTTTATTTCAGACGCGGAAGCCGTCATATGAGGCCGGTCGAGAGCGACTTTAGTGTTCAGCGTGGTGCCTGACGTAGGTATAACGTGAAAATGAGGAGGAACGGTGTGGATTTCGCTAGTGACCAACGGGGGTATTGTCGTGGAAGAGGCAGTCTGCCCTACGTTGCTGGGACCTCGGATGGAATCGGATACCGCTAGGATAAATTTTAAGGCGACGTTTCTGTGCTCTCGTTGACCATCGGAATCTTCGAGATCTGCTGTGAAGCGTGTGCAATATATTTGGATACACAGTTTAGCGGCAGAAATTGCGTGAGTCGTGCTTGGCAGTGTGCAATAGTGGTGTTGCTTCGTTGAAAAGACCGAAGGCTCCCTTTGGTTGTGTGGCGCACCGGAGAGCTTCCTTCAAACCGATAGTTCCTGCACCGTGCTTTAGGTGATGCTGTGCTGCTTCCTAAATTTTTCTGGCGTAGACGTGCACTTTCCTGGAGCACAGGTGTTGCAGTTAATATCGATTTAGCTTGTCTTCCGCACGTTTCGTCGACACAAGTTTCATCAACACTCGTTACGCGAAGTGCCAGCTGTAGGGACATTTCATCGCGCGTGTTACCTACCCAGTCCACCCGTTCACGCCGCTTGGCGACGACAGTCTGCAGCGGCTCAGCACCAGAGAAGTGGTTCTACATCTATTTGAGCTGAGTTCGTCCACGGCAGTCGACAAACCCCGAAGGAGAGAATTTATTTGGACAGAATTCCACTAAAGCAATGCAGCTTCTTTAGTGGTCAGGATAGACTCTCTTTTGTCAGTTTTGTTATATTGTGACGGATGCTTGCTCCAGTCCTATCTTGTATCAATATTTACTATTCTAGAAAGTTCGAGGCCATGCTCAGCTGTCATCGTATGTTCTGGTGGAGATGCTGTGTACTTTACCCATAGCCCTTCACTCGGTGTGCACCCTGGCGGCTCCTCAGGCGAGCTGCCTGATAACGGGGCACGGGTGGCGGACTATCCCGCGTTTTAAACCCCCGGCGAGCCGTGAACCAAGCCCAAACCCGAGCCCGGCAGAAAAAAACGCGACGAGTGAGTACCACAAGGAGGACCCTCAGAATACGCCACTAAGAAGCTGAAATCCGAGCCAGTTGCTGCTTTCAGCAAGAACCACCGGAATTCGGTCATTTGCCAGAAAAACCGAAAATGACTAAGCCAACGATGACAAACCCATAGCAGCAAACCGTGTCCGCTCCCACCATTGTTTGCACGCCCATCGCACCTCACACTCCGACGCCCTTTCAGGCAAGGTGTATGAAGGCGTCGAGGGCTGGAATGAACAATATGACTGTGTCGCCCGCCACAGTGGGTGGACAGTTCCAAGAGGACGAATAAACTGTTTTATGAACATTGGTAATTAACCTCTTTTCCGAATGTTTGGTTCGAATGCTTTGTAAGAGTTCGTGTGCACGTCAATTGAGCATACGCCAGCTTTTCACTTCAAAAACGTATTGCGATCGAATGTCGAATCGTCGATTAGCACAAAAGATTAAAGATCGCAGGAGCTTCGTCGCTTGAAGTTGCTATGGTTATTCGTTGACGCATGACTGAAACAACTTCCCATAAGCCCTAACGCGACGTGCACTTTTCGCTTCGAATCTCAGACATTCCAACGTTCAAACGATGCTAGAAAAATGCGAATTTTTTATGCTAGAAAATATATCGCAAATAGTTCATTAATACAAAACGTAAAGATCGCAGGAGCTTCCTCGCTAGAAGTTGCTGTGATTATGCAGTTACCTCGGGCTAAAACAAATACCTCGAGGCCCTACGTCCAACGCATACATGTCGCATCGATTCTCAGATGGTACCAAAGGTACCATCGCGTGCAAACTGCACGTCTTGGAGGCCTGTCGGTGTCGGTTTTTTCAGTTTGTCTGTCTAGTAAGACTCCGGCATTAGACGTGTGGTGTCGTTGTTGAAAGAACGCAGGTTGTCGCTTCCCGCCGACGTTGAAGGGTTCGATTTTTTAACGAAAACCAAGTTTGGAAGTAAAGGCTATTACATCCGTTATCAATCAATGCCAAGATGTGTCTTTGAAGAGATCAAAGACAGGAGGGAAGAATCGACACCCCACCATTTTTGACTCTATAGCGCATTCCATAGTGTACTGCCTGGGCGGTGGTCGTGTAGTTACGAAGTTCCTCCCACGAAGATGGTCTTAGGAAGAAGAGGTCGATTTGCAGCCTTTATATTGTGTGTAAGAGTTCATGCATAGTTGTTTGGTCTACTCTTCTTGTCCATTTGCAGATTGTCACCGATCGTCTGGAAATATCCTGAAAAAGAAAATACTGAAAAACCCGACATTTTGACTGCTTTTTATTTTTGAGCAAGGGCACTGTTATTAGTGTTTTTTTATCCTCCATAAATTGAATTTGTTAACAGTCATTTGTATTGAGAAAGCGAAAGAAATGTAGGTATAATGGGATAGAGATGAAATTGTGGATTAAATAAGGCTTCAATTCATATTTAAATAACTGTCTTAAACATCACTGAATGTAATAACCCTCCTCCACGGCTAAAGTGTTTCCAGTTGTGTACAACACCTAGCTGCCCTATACAATGCAGAAAACAATGTGTATGCTTAACATCTTGATTTACTTTCTTCCTTTAGCAACAACAGCATAGCATCCCTGGAGAAGAACTTCAGCGACGGCTATCCTGTCCTGAAGTACCTCACACTCGACAACAACAAGATCACAACCTTCGAGGAAGCAACACTGGCTCCGCTGCTGCAGAGCGCGAGCCACAGACGGGTTCGCTTTATCGGTAGGTTCCAACCAGACTTGGGAAGTAGTTCGTTACAAGTAACGGATTACCTGTAATCCGTTACTTTTTTAAGTAACTGTATTATTTTCACATTACCCTTTTTCGGCAGTGATCTTCAATGCAATTTCGTTACAAGTTATTGGTGACGGATTACTGTAATCATTTGTGACTTTTTGCATGTGTAAAGCTAATACAAAAACTAGAGCAATATGAGAATACAATTCAGAAGCATAAATATAGCAAGTTCAATAACATAGAAAACCTCGTGAAAGGAGAATAACCGAAAAGAAGACGCGATTTGTGTATGACCGGTCACGAGAACAACTAAAAAACGTGCAAGGCGTATACAAATATCCGAAAAATATCAAGGAGACAACGCCGAGTAGGCGTTGTCTTCTTGATGCCCTAGCGGAAATAGACGCTGCAAGTGAGTACGCGCACCGCTAGCTTTGTTTGCAGGATTCCGGAGGCTATTTCCGGTCGCCGTAAGCTAGCGGTCACCGTAAGCAAGCTAGGGGTGGAATTGCAGCTTCGCTGCCTTGTCATCTGACAGGCGAACGGAGTGCACCTACATTCTTTCTCCTAAACATTCCTTTTTACAAGGGCCGTATTGCGGCAGTATGAGAAATTGAAAGTGGTCTGGCAGAACATTTTTGAAAACATTAAAATTGTTTTTATTGCTTGTTTATAAGTGTACGGGAAAGGCAACGTAAAAGTAATTTGTAGCGTAACCAGTAAAGTAATGTGCTAAATTTCAACTAAAGTAATTTGTAACGGTAATCTATTGCATTTGTGGCTCTGTAATTTGTAATTGTAATCCATTACGATGTTCAAGCAATGTGCACAAGTCTGGTACAAGCTCCTAACCCAACGTAGCTCCCTACTCTCTAAACAAAAGGAAAAGTGTATTTTGCTCCTCTTTTTTACAATTTCTGACTTTCACATTTCCCTGTGAAGCTCCCCGTTTTTACACCATTCGAATGATTTCATTTTGTGGCACCAATTTCTCCACAGACGAACATGAAAGGTACAAATAAGCATGCTAGAAAAGCAATTTTACTGGTGCAAGCATTATCAACGTCAGTGTTTGTTTACCGATCCAAGATGCTCAAAAATCGCTATTATCATACATATATAATATTATTTACCCGCAGCAACGCTTTCGTCAAAAATCGCAAACCGTCACGACCCGTCAACTTCCGTAAAACATTTTTGCTAACACATTCGGAGGAACTCTCACGGAGGGTGTGTAATGACTCAGCTAATATTTATTGCGCGAACCTTCCATTAGATATTTCATAGTAATATATGTTTGAACTCGTGCATTACGCTCAATTGTGGCTTTGAATGGTTTGTTACTGCAAACAGAATGCGCAACAGCGCACCAGAGAGGGGCAACCGCATTAACGGACGAGAGTTCTTGCGTGCAGGCAACCCTCTACACTGCGACTGCCGGCTGCGTTTCCTGCTCTCGTATCCACGGGAATGGCTTAGGGCGTCGTGCAAGACGCCGCGGAGGCTTAACCGCAGGGCCCTGAGCACGCTGGCAGAAGCGGACCTGGCTCCTTGTGACCAGGAACCTTAGCTGTCCCTGATCGATGATGGCGTAGATGGAGGGTCGCAACAGGCACCTGGGCATACTTTCACCGCTTGGTAAATATATTGAAGTACAAAACCTGTGGCCTAAAGGGCCCTGAAGGACAGTGAAAAACACACCTTCAGAACAATAAAACTATAGATGACACAAACCCAGTTGCGGTATGTTGGTATATTTTTAACTGAAAACCTTTTCTAAAAGGCACAATGTGACCATATATTATTGAGACGTAACCAAACATTACGATTTTTAAAAATAATCTTTAAGGGGACTCGCACGAAAGGAATTTTCTTTTATTGTTATTTAGTATAACTGAATGCAATTATCACAGTTTATAGTTTCTGATCTTCTAAATCTGGAGATCAAAAACACTTCATTGCGTGTTTCGTTCTTGATGTAAGGCACAAGCAGAAGAAAAACACCTTCTTGTGAACACGTGGGGTATGGCTGTACATTTAAAAGAGCCTGGTAGCATAAGCTAATTCGCTCTTTTCACACCTCTGAGTGCAATGAACAACAAAAATATTGTGTGTGGAAGCATTCTTATTTAAAAATAACTTTGAATCGCGAACCCGGCATTTTCAAAGGGCTAAGAAGAGTTACTTATATTTTTTATAAATATATAAAAAATATATATATATTCCAACAAAACTTTGATAGTTGAGTTATACGTAACCTAAAGCATATTGTCGCTGATGCAAACGGGTCGACCAGCTTAAAACGGAAAAAATTGGGACTAATTGGCGCACTTTTGCCACAAAACAAGAGAAGGAATGCAGCTTCAAAACAGCAACAGCGAACGTCGCGGCGTCGGCGTGAGAGTTGGCTGGAGCGAGACTGCAAGAAAGGGTGGGTCGGCAAGTCCACGATCGGCTCTTTGTTTACACTCGGTATCTGGAATATTCGACCTAGAATGTTTGGGAGTGACATAGGGCGAGATTGACTGGGCAAAATCACGTTGGCCTCTTTATATAATTTACACTCCGGGTAAGAGTAAACTCGAAGCTTCTAGAAGTACAAAGAAGAGTTTCTTCTCGGTCATGCACGCGACAATATGTATTCCAAGTTTGTTTGAAATAGCACAACGTTAAGAACAGGAATGATTGTGCACAAAGTTTGAAGATGCCCCAAAATTACACAAAGAGAAAAATGTGTTCGAATATTACCATAGTTGTTGAGAAACACTGTCGCAGGGGAAAAATAATTTCTGCCAATAGTTTTCCCAAGAAATTGAAGCTACACAAGACTACGGAGCAGAGAAGACGACTAGCTCTACTTCTCAACAGAAACAGGATGGCGGGCGACGTCACATTTGAAGAAGCACGCACACGAAAAGGGCTCGAAGATATGAGTTCCTGGGCTGCCAGAAGTTATTCCAATGAGCATTTGAAAAATTTGTCGATCATATTTGTTCCTAATTATGTTATACATAGTGTATAAAGAATGAAAGATAATTTAACAACCTTACACCCGAAAGTGTTTTTTCATATACTTGTTTTTGAGCCGCTGCTTTTCTAATGCTAGGAACACGCTTTACGGCAGTCATGTCCGATCAATCCTCGAGTATGCCTGTGAACTTGAGATTCTTTTTTTCATATGCTAATCAGTCAAGTTGAAAAAGTGCGAAGCAAAACCGCAGGATCTTCACTGTCCGTGATTGGTTTAGCCGGTGATGCCCTCAAAAACAACGAGCGCCATGACAGTACTTTTGGCGCTGCCTGGTTGGCTCTATTGGCACCGGCTGCGGTCACACTTCAAGGAGTGCAGATTTTTTTCTTGAAAGTATGGCTATGATGAAAGGATCAGCAACACCAACCACTGTATTCAACCACCGTATATTCGTAAAAGGACGCCCTCTGTTAAAAGAGACTCCAACAGAAATAGAATGGGGAAAAGTACCTAGGTTTTGTTTCCGCCATATTTTATTTCGCGAGGGTCAGATTACGCTCGCAAAATGAGAGGATTCAACCGCATATCTGTTGCTTTTATGTACTCATTTTTCGCCGCGTACAGTTGTAGAAAGCAATCGGCTGCCGAGGAATAAATTTTCAATGCTGAGAAATGATTTTTTCTTCTTTATCCTTTGAGTTCCACGCGCACCCATGCGATTTCGATCTGCCCCCTACCTCTCCCAACGGGGCTGTCAATGTTATTTTTACGTCACTTATTTTCTAAAGACACCTGTTGAGGGCACGGGGAATGTTTTGTGTAGGTATCTTCTGTTTTTCTGAAAGGTGAATCTCTATGGCTCAACCTCAAGCTTTATGGCTAGAACCCGGACGACAGTTTGATCATACGCATCCCATCCGCATCTGCAGACTTTTTTCCGCACCTGAACTGCCTCCCCGAAATTCGGAACCGTCTCCAACCCTCAATCCGCGCAATTATTTTATGTCATGAAATAAAGCATTAATAAAAAAATAAAAAAATATATATATTCGGATGATATCCTATAAGCAGTCTTCTTAATTTTGTCCAAAGAACGTTTCGTGTCCAAATACGGTGAAAATCATTTTATCGCAATTTGTTTCATCGTAACATATATACCGGGCATTCATTTTTAATTCGAACAGATTTATTTTAAAAAAATCCGTAAAAGATGCACTGATACGGTTTGTGCAGGCGAGTTATACGGCCAGGGGACATATTATAGGGGGCTAATCGTAACGATCAGTTGGCTAATTAATTAAAATTCGTTAATTACCTTTTTAATTAATGAAAATTGACATATCGTTCCAATTAGAAACTTGCACAGCGTCACCGAAAACCACTAAATCAATCATTTTCAAAAAGACTTTGAGCGCGTGAGAAGCTTAGTAGTGCACTAAAGTTACGACTCGTGGAGCAGGTACAACGCTGGCGCTTGATAAGAGACAGAAAAATTGCGCGGGCGCCTTACCGCAACCGCTAGCTTTGTACTTGCTCCACGAGTGGTAAATTTAGTGCACAACTACGCTTCTCTCGTGCTCAAAGTCTCTCTGAAAATGACTGATTTAGTGCTTTTCGATGACGCTGAGCAAGTTTCAAATTGGAACCATATGCCTATTTTCATTAATTAAAAAGTTAATTATCAAATTTTAGTTAATTATCCAACTGATCGTTACGATTAGCCCCCTGTAATATATCCCCCTGGCCGTATAACTCACCTCCACAAGTAGCATAAGTGTAACTTTCACGGCTTTTTTTAAAATAAATTTGTTCGAATTAAAAGTGAACACCCGCTATATATATATATATATATATATATATATATATATATATATATATATATATATATATATATATATATGAGCGGTTATCCTTCTAGAGACAATTCGCTTCGCTGGAAAGATGAACGCAGTTATAAGGTCGTCTTGGGTGTCCGTGACACTCTGTCCAAAAGATGCGCTCAAAAGGGAAAAAAAAATTTCCTTTCTGCTTTCTAAAATCCAATCCAAGCAGACATTTATTTATAAACATAAACATCGATAAAAGACATAGCGTCATTTTATTTAGGCCAAACAACAAAAATTGGGAGAGGAAAGGCAATCACTCACCGCAGCAAAGTACTCGTACATAAGATGCGGGTTCACCACTGAAAAAATATCTCAATGTTCAATAATGTGGACACCTGTTACCGGTTTCAGTTTTAAGCACAAACCCTCAACAGTATGCTCGGAACCACCTGCTTAGAAACAACTTGCCAACTGTCGAGATAATAAAAAAGAAAAAAAAACTTTTCGGTTTTCGGTTTTATTTTTAATAATATAACCCTAGTCATTTTTTAAAAGTTCATGAAGCATGAAACGCTCGACACAAAACGTTTTAACTTTAGAACATAAATTTAAAGAGACTTAAAAATTCGCAGAAAAATGCCTCATTATGTAAGATTAGTTGTAGAAGCCAAGTTTAGCATTTGCGCTTCAAATATATGTTCATCTAAATTAAGTTTTACTAATTCTGCCAGAAAAGTATGATTGAAATAAACGTAAAAATTTTGATGGTGTAGAACGCTGTAATATTTATTCCTCCGGGCTTCAAAGTTGCGTCATCGCGCAATTGGATAAATCGTTTTTTCAACCTTCTCTCGAATGCGATTTTTCTCACGAATACAAGGAAGTATCTTGCAAAAGTAAGGTCAGTACCGTTCAGTGGACAGGTTTCGCTACCTCACATAAAAATTTAATTGAAAACAAAAAATAGGCATGACACCACCATGACCGTCTTTATCTGAACACACCCTACTGCTGAGGCCAGCAAGTGCGGCGCGTGGAACACGGATCCCTGCATTCTCCTTGATGCTTGGGTAATATAGCAATAGGTCCATTTAGAAAAAAAACAAGAGTAATTTTAAAGGGGAATTTGTTATGATAATTTTTCTGAATCCATTTAACGTAACTTTCCACGATTCTAGTTTTTATAAGCTAACTTAATGTTTTAAGTATCGAATATCATTTCAGCTATAGCAGACGACGCACGCTCGCGCCATCTGTTGCTTGTATGAATGTGTTTGCTTGGTGGCGGCGTGTCAAGAATGCATCTGAACTTCTTCGTCCTCGCACTACAAGTTGCTGCTATCTCCACCTGCTCGGAAACTATGGCGCTGTCAAACACGTGGCATAGCGGCGGCATTTCCAGGCGACGGAAGCACCAGGGCCCATCCGGGGACCTGACTGGCGTCGCCTCTCCCTGTTATGAGCACTGGAGGGCCGACTGATACCGTCGAAAAACATGCGCAGCGACACCTACAATTTTTGCCGACACTATAAGAGCAAGCTTCCAGTCTTCTGTCTTTAGTGGGCTTGGTGGCGTCGTGTCAAGAATGCCTATAAACTTCATCATCGCACCATAGGTAACTTATGAATTTCCTATTTATTGATATAAAAGTGATGATCATTGTCTTATACTGCCACTAGTGTTTTCTGTTCTTTGTTGTATTTCGGAAATTATATCATTTTGTTATATTGGGGGGATGGGGAGCAGAATCCGGGACCTGAAACTAATCAAGAAAGGCTTCAGAAATTATTGCAAGGTTAAAAGGCGCTTTTTGACAGTGTTCGGGACGTAAAAACCAGTCAGGAAACTCTACAGTACAAATTTGACTGCTTCGAGAAAAGGTTAACAGATATTGAGAAGTCTCTTGCTACTTGCGCAACTGTGACTCAGAACTAC